CCCCCCCCCCCCCCCTAATATTGATTTGTGCCTAAGTAGAACTTTGATGTTTCCAGCAAAGGCCCTTCATTGGGAAAGTTAATAGTATAATATTGTGTGTGCATGCAGCTAGTAAATAGATTGCTCCGTAAAACTATCACGTTTTTTACCATCTGATGTGAATTGTGGAATAAAATCATAAAACAAATTGTGGATAAAGAATTTATCTTTGGGAGAGTGAAGTTATTTTGGTAATACTTTGAATATTTTTTTTGTAATTTAGTGAATTATTTGTCAAATTGCAGGAAATTTTAGAGTTGGTTAAATGTTAATAAGCACATGTAAGCTGGGCGGTTGATTTTGGTGTGTGCATATGACTTATAGTAATTACGTCATTCAAAGAATGATTTTATGAACTGAAAACATTACGGTCAATAGACCGGTAATTACATCACAGCTACATTGTTTTCAACTTAGGACCCTCTTAAATGGAATGGGTTTCAAATTTTCTTCCCACTGGCTATGCGCAAGAATCAGAGCATCCTTCAACACATGCATGAAAAATATTTTTTTATTTTGACCTATAAATGTGAGATTAAGCATTAACACGGCTTTTGGGCCCTTTCGGCCCCTCAGCCTCGTTTTCGTGTGAAAGCTTATTCCCGCATTTATTGATCAAAATAATAAATTTTTTATCATGCATGTGTTAAAGAAGGATGTTCTGCTTCTTTACGCATAGCCAGTGATAAAAAAACAACTTGAACTCCATTCCATTTAAGCGTGATTTAAGGTAGTCCTGAGTTGAAAACAATGTACAGTAGTTGTGACATAATTACCGGAAAGGTCTATTAGAATTTTAGAACAATCAGTTTGGAACCATTATGAACTACTGTAATAGGAACATCTGAGTAGTGCTGTGTGCCGGAGTTCTGCCAGTGCTCCAGTGTGTTTTTTTTGGCGTGCCGGAACCAGAGTTGCGGCTCCCCTTCCCATCTCCAGCTGGAATGTTCTGGAAAGTTTTTTTTACAAAATGTGTTCTCAGAATGCTGCAAATCCCATTTCCAGGATCCAAATTTTAAAAAATCTCCCCCGGACCCCCCTATAATTCTCGTGCCATGTTTCATTTCATAAAGTGTTCGCGACTGCTTGCCACCCACAATCGTTCCTGCCTTACTCTGAATCCAAATCTGTTGCTCAACTCAAGACTCCTAGTTATATAACACCACTATATCAGAATTCTTATTTCAACAGGATTGTAAAATTATGGAACAGTGTTTGCAAAGTATCTTTTCCAAATACTTTCTCTAGTTTCAAAACAATTAAACATTACCTTTAAAATTCTTATTCTATATTTAGTTTTTACTGTATTTGATGTAAATCTGTTATGTACTTGGTCTATATCGCATGATTGTCCTTATCACAGGAGTTGACAGTGTTGACTGTCTCGATAGTATTCAAATTGTTAACTGTTTATTCTAAATATTATGTATGTAGTTTGTTGGAAAGGTGTCTCGCATGGGTAGTGTAATCTATTAATTATTCCCCGTTTTCTATGTATGTACTGTATATGAGTGTATGTTCATTGTAATAATAATAATAAAAAAAACACAAAAAAAAACGAACGAAGTTTGAGCGCCAAATATTGTTCAGTATGGCAGCTACAGTAAGCTGTTCGTTTTTCTTTTCGTAACTTTCTGGTTGTCAAGAAGTTCTAAACCTTCATTTATTCATTCCAACTCGAGAACATTTCCGCTAAATATTACCATTGCTTCAGAACTTATACCAATACCTAGTACAATATATATCGGCTGTCTTTGGACAGTAACAAAACTTTCGTTGATAGGATGCAACTACCTGAAAATACAAGGAGAAATTCGACGTTTCGAGCGAAGGCCCTTCGTCGGGAAGTTAGTATTAGGGAGTTTACGATCTACGACGCGGCCGGCTAACGACGCGGTCTAAATTTCAGCTCAAGAATGAGCGGTAAGCAATTTGATTACTGTAATAAATATTTGACGCTTTTTCAAATAATCTTACAAACTGCTACGTTTGGCTGAAGCGATGCAATGTTTGCTGTAATTTCGACTGTAAGGAACACCTCTTGAGTCGCATTAAGCTTTCACATTGACTGAAAGACGTAATAATGCTTGTTTAACCAAAGGCATGTAGTGGAAATGTCATCCAATAAGAAGCGCGCATTTGAGAGTTAATCACTATTTAACTACAAAATAGTGATTAAGAGTTTTATACAACCGGCCCCAGACGTTTGAAAATAGTCACAAAGATGTGACCACTAACTCAACGATCTAGAACCTACAACGATTTCAAGACTTCGCTTATGGAGAACATCTGGATGTCGTATCTGTGAGTGAGACATGGCTTAATGAAAACGTCAGTAACTCCGAGATTTTACACTGAGTCACTGACTACACCATCTTCAGACTTCAGGAGTAGGAAGAGATGACGGAGAAGAGAAGACAGAGTATAGGAAGAAATGACGACAGGGTCCATCAAATCAAGTATATTTAATTCTGTTAAGGAAGTTATTTTAAATATGGCCGGATGAGGAAAAAGAATTAGAGATTGTTTCAGCAATCGTAGAAACTGCATCAAACCAAAACATTTTCTCTTGCTACGACCACCTGACGCTGACCGAACTTGGGTGAATAAATTCACATTTCTGATCAAGCTTGTGATCAGTTTAAAAAACGTACTGATATCTGGTGACTTCAATCTACCCAACATCTAACGGGATTTACCATCCATGCAACACATCAAAGTAAACACTATCCTGTTGTTGCAACTGTTGCAGAACTATAGTCAATGTGTCTGTGAAGTACTTTGCCCAGAGAAAACTGAAATAATGACGGACCACTCAACGATTCTGCATGAATTTACTGTAAAAGCTCGACCGAAAGTTGAAAGATTTGTCTACAACTTTAGCGCTGGTGATTTCGAAGGATTACGGACCGCAATGAATTTGACATCTCTCGTTGAGCATGCCAATAATATCGACATCGCTTGGCAAGAGTGGAAAGATGCATTTTTAACAACCGCCTCGCACCATATCCCATGGATCAATGCTATTATCCTAAACGCAATACGAAAAGAAGATTCCGTTCGCCAAAAACTTGAGACTTCCCCTAATAGTGTTCGACTACAGCAGCAATTCAAGTCTTTGCCATCTGAAATTAAACGATTGTTGCGGAGAAATGGGAAAAGTGTTTTAATTGTTTAGGAAGAGATCAAAGTCCGAAACGTTTCTGAAAAGAAACACAACAAAGTAAGACATCCCTGACATTATTTCATCGAGTAATTGATACATAATGAAACATATGACAATACAGTACAGTACAAGACGACCAGTGATTAATTAGGAGGTTCAACCTCCTAATTAATCACTGGTCGTCTTGTACTGTATTGTCATATGTTTCATTATGTATCCGAGGTTGATAGGTATATAGTAATGGACTATAAATGGTAATGTCTAATGATCAGACGAACGCATCGCAAGCGCCAAGGTTGTGCAACAAATAGAAAATGAACCAACAATTTGTGAACGATGATTGAATGTGGTTAAATGTATATTTAAGCAAAGTTCACGGCAGATGTATCACGCCGTAGCGTTAGAGTTTTTCATAAATAATAATATGCTTTTTTGCAAATGTTTCCTCTCAACATGGAGGCGTTGGTAAATATTGATGTGGAAATTTTTTTTCGTAGATTTAATGTTCAGAGGAATTTATCATGGCAAGCAACATCATCCGGGTAAGAATGAAGTATAAAACTAAATACCACTAATCGAGGGATTTGTGGAACTATTGTTCTGTTTCATAGTCTCTATTCCGCGCTCTGGGTGAGCTACTGTATACGCTGTTACCTTCTCAGGCCGAGACACACAGGATGCGATTCGACAATGCGGCGCGTTTTTCCAGTTTTTGAAGTACTATTTAAAACACGAGCAGGAGTGGTTTAGCAGATATAAAACACGAGAGCGCAGCTCGAGTATATCTCATAAAGCACGGACTGTGATGGTTTTAAATGGCTTAAAAAACGACCGAGTTCATTGGCGAAGTAATTTTTAAAATAAATGTTGTCTAAGTCGAGAAAATCAAAGCTAAAGTTTATTTTAAATGAACATTTTTATCACATATTAAATATCACATATTTTTATCACATATTTTTTTTATCACATATTAAAAAACTCATTAATAATTCGTGAGGAAAATACAAAAGAAATGAATGTTTAATCAATGTTTGTAAATCAGATGCTTAGACAATGTTTATTTTTAAAATTAGTTTCCCAATTAACTCATAAGATGGGTCTAAAAATACGACTAAAAATCTTGGAATATCGCACCCTGCATAAGGCTGAGTATAAAAAAGCTTTCTTTATTAAAGTTTACTTACAATCCGTCAAATTATACACCAGTGGTGTATAATTTGACGGATTGTAAGTAAACTTTAATAAAGAAATCTTTTTTATACTCAGCCTTATGCAGGGTGCGATATTCCAAGATTTTTAGTCGTACCTGACTGGTACGCCAATGGTTGTGGTCGCGTACTTAAAATAAGGTTCATAATTAAAGTACAGGTTTCTGAAAAGTATGTTCAGACTACGAGGCAGAAAAAGAGGCACAATTGGTCAATTGCAATATACAAACAATCGATTCCAACGTTTCTTAGTGCCATCAGTCCAATCATGTTTCATTGCAAGACATCTCAGACACATGATATACTGTACACCAACTAAATTACCGTCTTGAATACCTTGGGGTTTGAAAGGTCATGTGGTACCAGCAAAACGTAAGTACGAAGATAGCAAGAGTTCCGCGTACATACGTGGTACGTGACTGGAAACAAAGAAGTACCAGACCGTAATATTGGCGTACCTCTGGTACGTAAGTACGCGAATTATCGCACCCTGCAATTATGACAATTTAATTGGTATTGGTGCGTCTAGTAAAAACCACCATATTTTTTCTAACCGCCATAAATTTTGATACTTTAGATGATTTAACGTCGGTATTGAAAAGAGCGGTTGATATTGGCGTTACAAAGGTACAAAACAGCAGTGTATCATAGATCTCTACAAAACCTTCTCTCGCTTTTAAGCCCGGAAATAAATAAATCCCCTTTCGATTAATTCTCTGCCTTTGTGGTGAGAAATGTTATATCATCACGCAACCCACGCATAATGGAATCTGTCCCTCAATGAAATGATGTTTAACACCAATTGACTGGGACGGGGGAAATGTATGTTTTGTAGACCCGATACTGCCAATAGTTCCCAGGCTAAGCCAAGGGAACACTCTAAAACACTCTGGTGAACCTAGAAATAGCCCTATTTGGGTTAACTTAATATTCCTGGTTAATTTTCCTGGTTATTTTTAACCTATAGCCTAGTCAATTTAATCAGGACTTTCTTGGTTAAATCAGTAACCAAATTATGTTAGGTGGGTAAATAACCAGGGGCCCCTAGCGAAATTGCAAGGTGTAACATGCCTCGCAAAAATTTACCTCAAAATTAACTAAAGTCAACTCTGACATGCTCTTTTTTAAATATTTCTCCAGATGATTATAACCTGTGGCTGTTCAGATGATATAAAAAATGGACTTGAACTCAGTAAAACAAGAGGTACATTCCCAAATTCGTCTTTGATGCTAAACATCAAACTACTGCAAGAAGGTTTTCATTCTGTGACAACTGTACTCTGTTAAATTTGTTAATGCTGCGAAAGATAAACGTTTTACCTTTCACGTTTTACTATTCAGTTCAGCATATGCATATGACCCATTGCCAGTACTGTGTAGATTAGAGTCAGGTGTACGGGTGCTTTTTATCTTGATGAAAAGGTTTTATCTGCTTAATAAATTATTAATAGCTGCTACAAAAAGTGGTTGAAAATTGCCAAGGGATTGAAGTGGTATCCACACATTGAAGTCAAGGCCGGATGTTGGTGGGGGAAATAGGTTGTTTTCAAATTTTCATTTGATCTATCATTCTATCAGTTAACCTTTCCCAGAGGGGAGGTGCATGACTTTTAGGGGAGACGCAAAAATCTCAGGATAGGTGCAAAATTATCTCAGGGGCGGTACGCACCTCCCCACACCTCCACTCAAAATGTGGTGAAGTGGTACAGTACTTTCACAGTACAACATAGTACAAACATGCAGAGGTACAAAGAGGCTTGCAAAGGCAGCTATAGCATGAACTCATGGTGAAGGAACCTCGATTATAAGTAATATTAAAAAATATATATTTGGTGAGGTGCACGTTCAATAACTCAATCGAACACTCCGAATCATGAAAAAAATCCTTAATTGTGTGCAGTCAAGCAACGTTGTTTCCATGATATAGATGGTTTGTACTGTACAGTTGGTTGTCATCCTACGCGATGTGGTGAGTTTGAGAAGGATGGAGACCCAGATGCTTATCTCAATGGGTTACTTGAAGTGATTCAAAATAATAAAGAGAAAGTCGTAGCTGTTGGAGAATGTGGACTAGGTTGGTTGTAAGTACAACATACAACACTTTGTACGATTGTAGTTTTATGCAACGAAATTTACCATTTTCTTATGATTGCATTGTAATGAAAATTCAAAATGACTAATAAGATGCTTTTCCAAACTATTTTAACTTTGAGTTGTTTCTTTCTTGCGTTAAACCCATTTTCCAATATCTTGTATGTAATTAAATACTGTAGTTGAGTAATTGGCAATGGCACATTATCAACCTCTGTGACCGCTCCTCTTGCTAATGTCAATTTGTTTCAATCATATTGGGTGTATGCAATGGGACCGTTCTACAGCTTTTCTGGATGATATTGCTTAATTAATATTTGTTTTCATTCAATTCATCATGTTGCTTATGTCTTATATGTATACATCCCACTTAATATATATACAGTATACTCCTCTGTATTGCTTTATAGTATATAACCCATTTGTACCATTATAATATTACTTTTATGTCAATTGTTGCTATTCTTATATTACTGTTATTATTGCTACATGTAGTAGCTGTACTTCTACTGCTTAACTTCTGCTGCTATCATTTTAATATTATATAAAAATGATAGCATTTTAATATTGCTATCAGTGACACTAGGAGCAACCCCCCTCCTCCGCAGCCCCACCATTTTCCAATAGGCGAATTTGTCCGCGCGAAGCCAAGCGAAAAACAAATCTTGGCAATGTGATTGGTCGGCGAAAACATTCCCCGCGAAAAAGTTGGATCAGTTCCTACTTTTTTACTGTTCGCGCGAACAAATTCGCCTAGTGGAAAATGGGCTTTATTTAACATGATTTGATACGTAAATCTATGGATAGGATGTCACGTCGGCAAAAATTTCATTTGACCGCGCAAGGTTTGTAATGCAATATAGGCCGCGGGCAGTTGTGTGAAAAAGTGCCTAGAAAAGCAATTTCGTGGCACCCCCTGGGGAATAGATTTTCTGTGGTTCAATGCATAGTTCCATAGATGCTCAGTCACTACGAAAAGTTCCCAAGCAAAAAACTTGCCCAATACGGAGAAAATGAGTGATCAGTGATTATCCTCTATTAGTATTTTTGCACAAGTGAACATAACAAATCCTACACGTTGATTGGTCAAATTTGACGTATTAAATATAGGTTATTCACCTACAGGTGAATATAACAAAACTGAAATTTTCAAAATGGCGGTTAGCCGTTTTGTGGAAGTTACTGATGAAGAAATAAGCGAAATTAAAATAAATTGATCAGTCCCAAAAACACAAAAGACTTGTGTGAAAATACTAAAACAATTATTCGCCTCAGGCTCGGTGATTATCGGGGAATATTCACCTCGAATTCATCTCGGCGAATATTCCCCGATAATCACCTCCCTTCGGCGAATAATTGTTAATTAATTAACAATTATTCGCCGAAGGCGAGGTTATTATCGGGCAATATTATCACCGAGCCTGAGGCAAATAATTGTCTTAGTATTTTTACACAAGTCTTTTGTGTTTTTTGGGACTGAATTTATTTTAATTTCGCTTATTTCTTTATCAGTAACTTCCACAAAACAGCTAGCCGCCATTTTGAAAATTTCGGTTTTGTTATATTCACTTGTAGTTATATTCATATTGTCTGCTCCTGAGGGAAATAATTTGTTTTGTTTTCCCGAGTCTCAGAAAGTAATTATGCAATGTGACGTCAGAGTGAAATAATTTGCATGTCTCAAGAACGAAGCAAACTAAGAGAGTTTGGCAAAGTATTATTTGGTCATTTTGAATTTGTTTTACAATGCAATCATAAAAGAATGGTGTGAAATTTCGTTGCATAAGCAATTTAAATAATTACACGATCTACATATTAGTGACAGATCATTCATCTAACTATTTACATCCAGACTTTTGAACCCTTCGTTTCCTTCAAAATTGTCGAAGAATGAATTGATTAAGAGGCAATTTTTTTCACTGTCGCGTATTTGCGATAAAAAGTGTTCAAAAGCGAAAATCTTTTTGGCGTTCCTCTCAAAATTGCTTTGTTTTAGCTTTATTCTCTAGCTTATACAGTTAGCGACCTTTTTAAATGCATTTGCGGGTTGAGAAACATAAAATAATAGTAAAAAATTGTCAATTACAGTCAATTTCAGCTGACTTTTCGTCGTAAGATTCCAAACTTCGTTCCGAACTTCGCAAATTCGTTGCCAAGTTCAAAAGTTCATAATGAAATTCACAAACAGGTTTGTAAACTGGGCATTTGATTGGCTGGTTTGATTTAATAGCCAATCAGAGGCTTTGTTTACAAACCTGTTTGTGAATTTCATTATGAACTTTTGAACTTGGCAACGAATTTGCGAAGTTCGGAACGAAGTTCGGAATCTTACGATGAAAAGTCAGCTGAAATTGACTGTAATACAATTATCAATGATGCTTTAAAATTGACGCCATGCATATTACAGCAATATAAGCAAAACTTACTGAACTTCAGACGTCATTTTCTCTTTGGCTTACCATCTAAAATCTCTTCATTTTAGCATTATTTTACAGATAAATAACTAATCACACTTTTTTTAAAAGTTGCCGCTTGAGAAACGTATCAAAAATTTAAAAAATTGAATATAGTCATAACCAAGTGGAAAAGTTAGTTTTGAGCGCGTGTTACGTAACATACAAAAAATCTCCTCTCAATATATTAAAAATTTAATATTGATAAAGTGATGGGATTTAAGGCAAAATTGTGCACATGAACTCTGGATTCAAGTAATATTTTCTGTTTGCTTGGTTCAAATTAATGTGCTAAAGTAAATATATGCGAGTTAATTTGCACTTTACATGAAATGTTTGTAAGAGTGCTTTATACTAACTTGCATACAGTATACATTCTGTAATACTTCATGACTAGAAATACGGTACATGCATGGGATACACTGGAATCGAAGATAAGTTTACTTAGCTATCTATTTTGCGTACTGTCAGCTTTAGTCAAATTATTAAATTACTTCTCATCGCACAAAAAAACAGCAAAGCTGATATGTGGTGCACCGATAATTATTTTAGTTGGTTATAAAGTGATGGTGTTTATATTATATTGTCGTGACTAATGATAGGAAATAATTTCACCATCCAACATCGATAAACATGCATGGTTGGAAGAGTCTTGCTTAAAAAGTTCAAACCTATACTTCGCATTTGCAAGCGAGCATGAAAAATCGTGAAAATATTGCCAGCTTGTCTATACAATTATTTTCAAGTAAAATTTTATAAGTACCCGTACTTTTTAAACAATTAATGTTACTTTTCAACCTGAAGCAGAAGGCCTGGACTTTAAATAAACAATATCCGGAGATAATGAGATTATCTCACTATCTGGTCGGATGTACAGTGTAATATCGGATGCATCCCTAATAACGGAATAATATTATTGAAAAAAAAACATTTGTTGTTTTTGACTAGATTATGATCGCTTGCATTTTTGTCCTAAAGAAACTCAACTAAAGTAAGTGTTCAATGAAAGTGCTAGGTATTGGAGATAAATGAATCAATGTGATCTCCAACCTTGTATCCATGTTTCACCAGATGATTATCTTCATAGATATTTTGAAAGACAAATTGACCTGGCAGAAAAGACGAAGCTACCAATGTTCCTTCACATGCGTAACGCTAACAAGGATTTTTGTGGCGAGTAGAAATTTAATTATCTTCCTTTTCTATAAAATCATGCAGGGTCACGATAAGAAGTTCAGACCAACTTATTATCTATAAGAAGTTTATATTATAAGCAGTTTATATTATAAGAAGTTTAAACCAACTTATATCTGTAATAATACTGTATTACAAGGCTCAGATCTGGTCATTTTACCAAAACCGCGGATTCTTCCTCTCGCTCTAAAAAGACGTGCGATGTTTTCGCGTCAAAATATTCAGGGATGCTACCACATTCCTAACGACGTGAAATCGACATCGTGGGAATAGCGCGACATATACATGTATGTGTCGTTTTATTGTATCGTACTTTACTTATCGTCACGTAGTTACAGGCTATGTTTACTGCAAACGTCAGTAGCCCTTGATCTCCAAGATTATTATTAAAAGTCTCTGCGGAGGAGAGTGGGAATACTGGTTGAGATTACCTTTCTCTACACAAAATTCGCATACCCGTTATGATGAATTCCATGTTAAAAGATCTTATTGCGCTTCTTAAGCCCTCGCTGTCCTACTCATTGACACATTGTTGATCTTGTGTCATCAGGGTAAATTACCTAAAGTTGTTTCGGCGCTGTTTGGGGGAGAGGGGTGATGAAGTTTGTTTTTTCAATGTATATTGGCTGGAATGGTTTCAAGGGTTATGTTATATTAATGGGTCGTGATAACGAATGATTGGTCCGGGAGAAATTATATTCGACACAGGCGCATTCCTGAATGTTTTGACACGAAAACATGACGCCTCTTTTTCTGGCTCAATGAAGCATCCATTGTTTGGGTCATACCTTTATACCTTTATAAGATTAAATTTGCATGATGGTTATGTCATGCCTCTTACTACCAACTACGCGCTTATGCGTCTAATTTTACTTAACCTAGCTGTATACAGATCCAACTCGGTATCGCGTGATAGGTCTAGACTGAAGTTTACCAAGTGACTCTAGTTTCGGTTACAACCTGCAGTTGCTCATAGAAAATTAATATGCAAAATATGAAGATACAGTATATTGACTCGTGGAGCCGGTCCGCACCTGAGTGCAGAGGTTTTCTCTTGTCTGGCGAGTTTTATAAGAGCTAGATCTGCGCCTTGGGTTCAGTCTAAAGTACAGCTAAACAGGATACCCCCTGATCCAGGGTAGGTCAGCTTCAAGCCTGGTACACAACCCTCTGTGATGTTGTTTGCAAGTTTGAAACTGATGCAAACTAAATAAATATGCATTCGTTGGTGGATTTTATCTCCGCTCTCGTTACTCTCCCGGAAGCGGAGATAAAACCCTGGGTACGAGGTTGGCATTGCAGTTGTTAATATTTGTCACTCCTGTTTTTAGATATTATTAAACGAAATCGAGATAGGATTCACGCTGGTGTTGTAAGTTTTTGCATACATACAGTAATGACGGTTTAAAAGTGACTGCATACTTAAATCCGCCAGGAGGTTATGTTTTCATCCGCGTTTTTATGTGTATGTGTGTGCGTCTATCAGCACGATGACTTAAAAATATCATACGTATTAATACGAAAATTTGTGGGATTAATGGACATTGCCCAAGGACAACTTGATTAAATGTTGGTTAAATTTGGATGAAAATTGGATGAGAAATTAGCCAAAGTTTGTCTTGTTTTGCTGGGCAGAAAAAAACTGAATGCGTAATTAGCCCATTGTATAATTTATGTACGATACATATCTTAATTTGTTGGCCAAGGTATATGCAGTCTCCGAGTGCCCTCTATATGTACTATTTAAAGCACGCGTAGCAGTGTTTTATCACATATAAAACACGACGCGTAGCGGAGTGTTTTATATGTGATAAAACACGACTACAAGTGCTTTAAATAGCTTAAAAAACGACTCATCTTTAAAATAAACTTTGTCTAAACCGAGAAAATCAAAGCTAAAGTTTATGTAAATTAACGTGATTTTTTATCACATATAAAACCACGACACGCTTATGATTTTTCTTTGTGTTTTGCTCCTGAATTATTAATGAGTTTTTTAAATGTACTTTACATGGCTGTATTCAGGTCTAGCAGTATGACGTATCATAATAATCCGCCATTTTGAGTTGGCAAAAATCTTTTATTCAACCGACTACTACACAACCGTGGAGTATTATAACTCCACAAAATGCTCAAACAAAAGCAACAGCCGCAGTCAGTGCCATAGTCTTGCTTTGACGCCTGTTGGCTTTTCCTTGACTATTTTTAATTTGCCACCCAAAATGTCCAAATATCACCAAATACGTGTTGTGTGACGTCACTTGCAAGACCATTGATATGCAATATATATCTTTGCATAGGCTCACTGTTTTACTGGCAATAAAGAAGAAGCACACTCAATCCTTGATCAAGGACTTTTTATCGGTGTAACGGGATGGTAGGTATAGGATTCATTTGGCGTGAAGGCTATTAACCAGTATCATGGGTTTTTTTCAGGGCTTTTGTAGGACCGTTGAACGGCCCAAAAAACTCCATCTTGAATTGAGTTTTGAGACTCAATCATCTCACCAAAAGTTTTAGTGTAGTAAAAATGAAGTAGTCTGTGTTAAAATTATAACGTGGAAATACTTTTTCCTGTTGGAACCCAACAAAGTAAAAAAAAAAAAACATACCACCTGCAATTCGTTTCGCAACATAAAATCAAAGCAATTTATAAGGCATGTAAAGGCTAAAATCGTGAAGCTTCCAGTAACTTCACTCCTGGATTTCCCAGGTTTTATGGTGCCCCAGACCCCAGGTGATTAGGTAAACACTCAATCTTCCCAGCAAAGATTCCTTTAAAAAAACCCTGCAATATTTTGCTTGTTGGTGTGAAACAGTAGGTTATGATCTTATCGAATTGTTAAGCTAAGTTACTATTATAATAAATAAAAGAGTAAATTAAGACTAGAATTCACGTTTGGTCTCCGCGGTAGATACATGCCTGGGCACTTTGGTGTACCTATTTTTTTACCGTAACTTCATTAACTTACCCATGTGCAGTGCAGACGTGCAGTACCAATGTTTTCATTTTGTATATAGTTCGTTTAAAACGGAAGAAAATCTGGAAGTTGTAAAATCAATCCCAGCAGAAAAGTTAATGATTGAGACGGGTATGGCAGTATATGTGTCTATATTGTAAATATGAACCTCATTGTGCTGTTACTGAATACACCATTGTTGTATAGATGCACCGTGGTGCGACATTAGACCAACTCATGCTGGGTTTCAGTACATTAAAACAAAGTTTGATACTAAGAAAAAAGAAAAATGGCAAGAAGGATGGTGTGTGAAGAGCAGGAATGAACCAACACATCTAATGTACGTGTTTTATTCTC